TAATGAATCTGGGTGCCTTTCAACTTTCTTCAACACTAAAGTAAAAAAAAGAATTTCGTCAAAAAAATAATAAGAGAAAATATATTTAGAACAAAAACTAATCCTAAGAAGAAATTAAAGAGAAAAGAAGTATAAGAAAAAGCCAAAGCAACTGCCAAAATCTTTTCAATTGTGAAAGCACAAGGAAAAACATGCAAAATCGAAACAAAACACACACCACAAGACAAAAATCAAGTTTCTTCTTAAACTTTTCAAAAAACATTTAGAAGCAACTGCCAAAATCTTTTCAATTGTGAAAGCACACGGAAAAACATGCAAAATCAAAACACTAACACCACCAGACAAAAAAGATTTACTTCTTAAACTTTACAAAGAATAATTTCTTTTTATAAATCCAAGTTTTGAAAATTGTCACATAATTGATCACATTTCACACATGTTATCACACACTAAAATATATTAATTAATGAATCTAGGATAGGGCTAAAATAATTCAGGTTCTTCAGGGGTGCCTTTCAACTTTCTTCAACTTCATTCATTCTAAAGAGAAAAAACATTTCATCAATCCTTTTAGGCAAAAAGGGGCAGCAAAGTTTGTATTTTCAACCTGACATCATTATTAAAAGATATTACTCATTATCTTACTTTAGCCATCTGTTTTATGCCAATTATATTTTTGCCATTTTCAATAAAAAGAATGTGTCACATGCATATATTCAACCCAGACATATGTCACTATTCTATTTGAACACAGAAAAATTGGGTATCACCCTTCTGAGTACTACAGAATATAAATCACAGGGAAATCAGCAAAATTTCTCTCAAGTTCTCCCACTTTTTCGTGGATATTTATTGTAAGACCACGACAGGAATTTTAGTAATCAGCCAGACTGGTTCAGCTGTTATAGCATCAAGTTTCATCATTGGTTTCACACATGGTGACCATAGAAGCAAATTTCAATTTCATAGTTGTCATCTCAATAATGTAGCGGCTTTTTAAAATCAAATGCTGACCATCCATGACAAAATCAAATTACCTCTGTGAAGAAATCTTGTCACTTCCAATGTTCATCTGACAGTAAAGTTCATATCCACAGCTCATGTTGCACTCTTGACCAAGAAAAATCTTGAATACAGATATATAAATAAGACATGATTAATATAAAATTAACTATTGTCTAGTTTTTGGTCAGGTATTCTATGGTTATACTTCATCCCTTTACATATAACTATGGTTGCTATATTTATTTAAAGACCACCACAGGAATTTATTACTGGTGACACATAGTGAGCATAGAAGCAATGTTAACTTAGTAATCTTAACAAAATTTGTGACTGCCTGACGATTTTCCAAAAAAAGATCCTAGTTGCAGCAAATTCCCCCTTATACTAAATAACAAATATATACCCGGGCAGTTGATATGTATTACAAGGTCACTACAAGAATTTCAGCTGCAAGGCTAATATAACTTTTGAAGGAACAATCGAATTACCTCTGTGCAGAAATCTTGTTCACTTCCAATGTTCATCTGACAGTAAAGTTCATATCCACAGTTCATGTTGCACTCTTGACCAAGAAAAATCTTGAATATAAGAAGACATTATTAATATAAAATTCCATTTTCAACTATCTTAATTATTGTCTAGTTTTTGGTCAGGTATTCTATGGTTATACCTCATCCCTCCACATATAACTATGGTTGCTATATTTATTTAAAGACCACCACAGGAATTTATTACTGGTGACACATAGTGAGCATAGAAGCAATGTTAACTTAGTAATCTTAACAAAATTTGTGACTGCCTGACAATTTTCCAAAAAAAGATCCTAGTTGCAGCAAATTCCCCCTTATACTAAATAACAAAATATATACCCGGGCAGTTGATATGTATTACAAGGTCACTACAAGAATTTCAGCTGCAAGGCTAATATAACTTTTGAAGGAACAATCGAATTACCTCTGTGCAGAAATCTTGTTCACTTCCAATGTTCATCTGACAGTAAAGTTCATATCCACAGCTCATTTTGTACTCTTGACCAAGGAAAATCTTGAATGTAAGAAGACATTATTAATATAAAGTTGCATTTTCAACTATCTTAATTTTTGTCTAGTTTTAGCAGAAGGCACATAAACAGTAAAGTAAAATACTTAACTTTGACCAGACAGCACAACAATCTTGCTCAGAAAGGTCCGCGAACGGTCCACGTGGATGGGATCGCCATTTTGAATTCGGCGGCCGGGCGAGTCTTGAACTGATTTCTATTTTCTATTTCAACTGTTCTCTTGACGTTCGTCTTGATAACTGGCGGTTGAGATAAACGTTAATGACAAAATGTTCAGTTCTGCTTTAGTCTATGGGTGCGGAAATTGCTCATGACATAAATTTTCAGTAAAAAATTATCATCATTGCAGCCAGAATTAAGCTCGAAACTTTAGATAACCTTGTACGCAGAATATTTCATATTGTAAATGGCTTTTTGTTATTTCTGGCCAACAATTAGCAGAAGGCACACAAACATCAAAGTAAAATACTTAACTTTGACCAGACAGCACAACAATCTTGCTCAGAAAGGTCCGCGAACGGTCCACGTGGATGGGATCGCCATTTTGAATTCGGCGGCCGGGCGAGTCTTGAACTGATTTCTATTTTCTATTTCCACTGTTCTCTTGACGTTCGTCTTGATAACTGGCGGTTGAGATAAACGTTAATGACAAAATGTTCAGTTCTGCTTTAGTCTATGGGTGCGGAAATTGCTCATGACATAAATTTTCAGTAAAAAATTATCATCATTGCAGCCAGAAGCTCGAAACTTTAGATAACCTTGTACGCAGAATATTTCATATTGTAAATGGCTTTTTGTTATTTCTGGCCAACAATTAGCAGAAGGCACACAAACATCAAAGTAAAATACTTAACTTTGACCAGACAGCACAACAATCTTGCTCAGAAAGGTCCGCGAACGGTCCACGTGGATGGGATCGCCATTTTGAATTCGGCGGCCGGGCGAGTCTTGAACTGATTTCTATTTTCTATTTCAACTGTTCTCTTGACGTTCGTCTTGATAACTGGCTGTTGAGATAAACGTTAATGACAAAATGTTCAGTTCTGCTTCAGTCTATGGGTGCGGAAATTGCTCATGGCATAAATTTTCAGTAAAAAATTATCATCATTGCAGGCAGAATTAAGCTCGAAACTTTAGATAACCTTGTACGCAGAATATTTCATATTGTATATGGCTTTTTGTTATTTCTGGCCAACAATTAGCAGAAGGCACACAAACATCAAAGTAAAATACTTAACTTTGACCAGACAGCACAACAATCTTGCTCAGAAAGGTCCGCGAACGGTCCACGTGGATGGTTTTCTTTGGCATCGCCATTTTGAATTTGGCCGGCGAGTCTTCACCTTCATCTTGACAACTAGCTGTTCAGATAAACCTATATACAACGAAAAAAAAGGGTTCGGCTCAGCTACACTGTACTCCTTAAGGAAGGCCTACGGCCTTCCCGTAGATTAGTGTAAAGGCCTACAAGTGGGAACTAGTCAACTAGCAGCGTGCGGGGGACCAAAACGCTCTAGGCAAACGGTCCCCCTACTGGGGTCGGACAAAGCAACCGCAGATTACGCATATAATCGCCGGAACCCACCTTTTAGTCAACGGCGAACTCCTTCTTCCTCGAACAATCTTCAATCTTGCTGAGCTTCGATCTTGCTGTCCACCTTCGATCGCCACCTAATTAAAGAAATTTTTTTTTAACGTTGAGATTAGTTTAATAGGCGATAATTACCATGTGATCATAGCAGATCACGTGGTATGATAATGTACGACAACATGCCGATCAACTCCGAACATCATCGTGAGCGATGTTACTATAAACGAATCGCTAAAAGCCTAGAAAAAAGTTGTCTTTTGAATTGTCGCTGTGTGCCGAATTCTTTGTATTTCTGATGTCAAACAATCCTGTACTTTTTGGTATCATAAATATAAGCTCCTTTGTTTTGGAGACATACAACAGTTTTTTTTATATTTTAGCTAAAACATAGCAGCAATTACAGATTCACAAAGTTCATTCTCATCTTGATTCACAAATTTTTAAAGGACTTGAATCGATTCCATGCGGTCTACAATAGCTGGGCGAACGTCTTACACCTAAAGTCAGTCAAAGATTGTTGTATCTCAATTCTTTAGCTTCAGTGATAAACAACATGAAGAAAAACATCACTTAATCACAGAAAACAACACAGATCAGTATACCATGAGAAACATTAAAAGGCCTTTATAATCTCTTATAATAATTACCTTGGCAAACATTTTGCAAGAAAACTCTCACAAAGTCCAGTTAACTGATAACACTAAATGACATGCCTCCGAATAGCTTTTGTTCTGCTCCGAGAAGGTCATCGTTGGCAGTTCCTTGGCTAGCAATAATAGAACAAAATGATTAGGACTCCATATTTCTGGATGGCGTTGGCCTTGCAGCACTTGTCCACAGGATGTAAATTGACAGTCATCTCGGGCAGTCATCTCGGGCAATCATCTCGGGCAGTCATATCGGGCAATCATCTAAGGCAATCATCCCGGGCAGTCATCTAAGGCAGTCATCTAACGCAGTCATCTCAGGTAGTCATCTAACGCAGTCATCTCAGGTAGTCATCCCGGGCAGTCATCTAAGGCAGTCATCTCAGGCAGTCATCTCGGGCAGTCATCTCAGGTAGTCATCTCAGGCAGTCATCTCGGGCAGTCATCTCGGGCAGTCATCTCGGGCAGTCATCTCGGGTAGTCATGTAGTCATCTCAGGTAGTCATCTCGGGCAATCATCTAAGGCAGTCATCTCGGGCAGTCATCTCGGGCAATCATCTAAGGCAGTCACCTCGGGTAGTCATCTCGGGCAGTCATCTCAGGCAGTCATCTCGGGCAATCATCTAAGGCAGTCATCTCGGGTAGTCATCTCGGGCAGTCATCTCAGGCAGTCATCTCGGGCAGTCATCCCGGGCAGTCATCTCGGGCAGTCATCTCGGGCAGTGTTTAATAGGACCCTACAATTATGCAAAGTAGAACACAATGGAACTGCAAACATGAAATATTGAAGATGATAGGAATTTTCGAAGTCTACTGAATCATCAAAGACTCACGGTCGAGAATTCCACAGGCGAGTTCTCGCCGTCGAGCGAGAGATTTTCACGTCGTCCACCCGGGCTCTCGGGAGCTTCGTCGCCGCCTAAAGATATGTTTGAATGTTTTAGGTTAGTTTGAGTTTGGTTGTGTGGTTGGTTGGTTCGTGTCAGCATTCGTTGTCTCGTCCTGTTTGAGGTCGAAATTTACCGACCGTCGATGTGACCTCATCTCGCTGATGTGTGTCAAAGAACGAGATAGAAAAGTCTTCCTAGTAAATCTCCAAGGGCGATTTACGAAGAGATTTACCACCGGCTATCAGTGCTGGTGGTGAAAGACTAAGAATTTTTTAGACTTTTTTAGACGTTTTTATCACCAACTAGATTTCCGGAATCTTAAAAAGCCGAAATAAGAATCTCCGGAATCTTTAAAACACGGAACGAGAATCTCCGGAGTCTTTAAAACACGGAATATCGTACCTTTTTACCGATTTGGTTTAATAATGAGAATGTAGACAAATGCGCTGATTGGTTTGAAACGAAATCAATTTTCTCCTTATTTGCACTTACTAGTAAAATGTTTCATTAAAAGATGGATTCCAGTTATTTCTCTTGGATCTAGTTTGATAACGGCGACGTCTCGACGAAAGATGAGGTCCGACCACCATTATTTCCACGAATGGATTGAACATTCTTGAAACACAGTACACAGTTAGTTACAACATGATTGCTCATGATTCATGAAGGCAAGGCATCGCTAGTTAAGAGGGTTAAATGACATTGAAGAGGAAAAAACACACGAAAAATAGCATCCTTTACCTGCAGCATGCCAGCGAAGGTCTTTCGCTTCAACAACTGGAAGAAATGATATACCGAACATCAAAATTAGTACTAGGTAGGCCAAGATTGGTGCGAAAATATTCATTTATTGGCCTTTTTGAAAGAAGAAATTAAAGTGAAAACTCTTTCTTAGAGCAATAAAGACGCAAGTTTTACCCTTTTGACTTACGGCTTACCCCTTGCCATTTTGTCAACTTTGACGACTTTTTCAATGCTCCAAAAACCAACCAAATATGCTCTAAAATGAAAGACATTAGTCTCAGGAAGCCATTTTTAGCATTTTAAGACACTTTTTGAACAGTTCAAAAAGTCGTAAAAATTGACCAAAATGGTAAGGGGTAAGCCTTACCATTTTTCTCAATTTTGACGATTTTTCAATGTTTCAAAAACCAACCAAATATGCTCTAAAATGAAAGATATTAGTCTTGGAAAGCCCTTTTTAGCATTTTAAGACAGTTTTTGAACAGTTGAAAAACTTACCATTTTGCTCAATTTTGATTATTTTTCAACGTTTCAAAAGCCAACCAAATATGCTCTAAAATGAAAGATACGGGGTATTAGACTTAGGAAGTTATTTTTAGCATTTTAAGACATTTTTTGAACAGTTGAAAAAGCGTTAATGGCGAGAACACTAGCAACCCAGAAGGTCGTTACTGGAGCAGATCAGACCACCAACTTAGAGGTCTTCTTAGCGTGTCGCTTAATACCTCTGGACAAGAACCCTGGGCGTCAGACCGATTGGGATTGGAGAGGTTCTACGACGGATTATTGGAAAATCAATTGTCTTTGCCATCAAGCCACAAATCATGGATAGCGCAGGAGACTTACAGCTATGTGCCACCGCCTATGAATTAACCACTGTCTTAACGAACTCGGCCACCGCTGCTGCTGGTGAAAGACGAAAGTTTCTTACTTCATTTAATCCTTCCTTTTGGGACTTTGAAATTAAATAAGAATTTGCTCTTTTTTCACACTGCAAGTGGTTGAACCACCGCCTTTGGACTAACCACTGGACATCCTAACCCACTCGGCCACCGCTGCTGGTGGTGAAAGACGACTTAGGAGACTTTAAAATTAAGTAAGAATTTATTTTACTTCATCCTTTTTTCGATTTAGGTCTTTTAAATGATACTATCACCGCTGGTGGTGAAAGACTTCTCTATTCTGTAAATGGCTTGAACAATTACGGATTCACTAAGTTCATCCTCATCTTGATACACAATTTCTTGATGACGTTTCCATAGTGATCTATGATTGCCATGGTCCGGATAATGGACGGTGTTTTTTTCTTCACTTGAATTCAATTTTCAACTAGAGGTATACTATGTCCCACTGCTAACAGTTAAACATCAACCTCAATTAAAACTTTAATAAAAATAAATTTCATATGAAATAAGCCAATAATGGTCTAGAGGTACTACAGTTAACTATATTTACTAATTAATCTATGACCCGAAGTGACGTCATCGACAGCAAACGACGTACTTAAACCGTGATGATGTTGTTAATTGTTCTTTTCATATAAATATAACTAACGAAATGTTCCAAAATAATGTTCTTTCTGCATTATATTCATAATGGCAATACAAGTGGTCACGTATGGCAATAGGACATTAAATGGGTCATCCATCACATGAATGTAGACTTAGAAAGCATTATTCTAGTTGCATAAATGAGTACAATGTTGCATATGCCATGGCTGGTTGTCCAAAAGATGATTACTCCAACCACCTATTGGTTAAACCACCTATTTTAGCCAAAGTATATTTATACATGGTCATTTATAATTTTTGTGGTCATTTTTGGCATTGCCAGTGTGACGTACAAGGTGTTTAGAAATTTGATTTCAAGATCATCAACATGGTTGGCTATTAATTAAACCATCTTTGAAAAACCGGCCTCTAGTCAGGGCAGTAGCTAGAAGCTTAATTGGCGGGTGTATATTCGTATATTTGTCTTATATGCCGGACTGATTTCTTTTGTACGCTATTGTATATAACATGAACATATGAATATACACCCCCTGAATTAAACAGTCTAGCTACCCTGCCATAGTCAATGTTTACAGCAATGAAATTTATCAGAACCCATTATTCTTACAACTTTGTAGAAAAGATACCAGTTTGTTTCATTCAACATCTGTGGCATTTGCATTTCATTAGTCAGAGTCATCATCATCTCCATAATCATCATCTGCACCAGTAGCTAAAAACAAAAAAGAGAAAATAGTTATACTGATTGACATTTGAATAAACTCATGGTCATAATTTTGTGTAAATGTGAAATGTTCATACAAATTTTATTACATTGGACTGTAAACTATTATCTCGTTTAATTACATATACATGTTGTGCTATGCTTTTAAATATATGCTATGCCTTATTTCGAGTGAATATTTCTATTGACTCTGAACATAAAGTAAAAAAAATTCCATGAAATTTTTACCTATGGCTCCCCGCAACAATCGACCACATTCTGGATTTTTAGCAAGATCATATGGAGTTCTCTTGTCATTGTTTTTGATTTTTGTATCACCACCTGTGTACAAGACAATTGCACGACAATGCATGTTATTGGTAGTTGTGAAAGTGTTAATGAAATATGGAAAATGATTTCAAAAGGGTTGCAAAAAAGATCATTACCTTTGTCTAAAAGCATTTTCACAATTTCAGGATGCCCCTTCCATGAGGCAGAATGTAAAGGTGTGTCTCCAAGTTTATTCTGCATAAAGAAATTACCAATTCATTATAAAGGGTGTGTAATATTCACAAATGTAGGTATGTATAGGAAAGAGTTGCAGCTATATCAACTGGGTTGTGTATACATAATAATCCATCGAATTACCTGAACATTTATTTGAATTCTGCTTTGCTGTAAAAGTATGCTCACACACTCTGAAAAGAGCATACATACAATATTTGAATTGTGATAAAATAGTTCACACTTGAGTAGTTCATACAAGTAGTTTTTTCCCAGATTTTGCATGCTTTGAATTTTCCTCATCAAAAACACTGGGTCATATTCATTTAAAGGCATAGCAAACCTAAATGTTGTTAGATACAACACAACGTATTTCAAAAAGTATATAAGTTCAATATAAGTTCAGACTTGACTTTAACTATTGCAGGCATTTAAGCTGTGCCTTTGACAGTTGATAGAAACTTTAGTATATACCTGCATGACCACCTTGTGCAGCCCAATGAAGTGGCGTGCATCCTGCTTTGTCTAACCCATTCACAGATACCTAGAAATGTGATTAACTTGTTATTGAATTCACAGCAAGTGACAATTACTAAGATGGGGGATCACAGGGAAAGATTGCAAGTATTTGCAAATTTCAAATTCCTAGGAGAAGAACAAATGACTTATTTCAAGGTAAAAGATAAAAAATGTGTATTTATCATTCGTACTTTATTTCCTAGACACTCATTTAAAAAGTTTACATTCCCTAAAATGTAAAAGAAAGTGACATAATTAGAATCAATGTTGTTGAAGGCAAGGATTTAGAAGTTCTTTTTAGATAAAGCTGACCATCAAACCTCGTTTTGCAGCCTCATGAAGTGGGTTCTCAACAGATTCGGTGTGAGCTTCAACTAAAAGTTATGCACAAAAACATTATCACAATTTCAATTTAAACAAAGTTGGCCATACTCTTTAGCAGACATGAATAAAATCATCTGGCAATAGACATAGTAAAACTGTGTTAGCTCACAACCTACTTTTAAACTTATCATGAAATTATATGCCTACACTGCATGGTATTATTTAGCATTTTATTCCGCCCAATGCAAGATAGTGGATCATTTGAACAGATTTTTAACATTGCTCTTCCATACCATAATTTGATGGTATCAAACCAACTTTGTTTTTAACTCTAGCCTGCCACCATCCTTCTTCGGCCTAAAAAATACACGAGTTTTGTCTTGGCACTAAATTTCTATTGATGATTCATGATTCATCACAGAACTATAGTATTGTCAGCAAAATACACCTGCTACTTTCCTTAACCTCTTGCCTCATCGGCCGAGCCAATCTCAAGACAGAAGCTGTCACGATTTTTTTCAAACTATTTTGCAATATAATATTGTTCAAGGAAATTAGGAAATATTTGTGACAATACAGTAAGTAAACTGATCTTTGAGTGGAAAGAGCGTTTATTTATTAGGGGAACTTTCATGGGGCTTTAAACTAAGCGAGGTTTCAAAGTCGGATAATCCTTTTCTACTAATTACGATCATTGATCAACAATTAAATATTTACTGGCAATTCCTCAAAACAAACGTAGGTAACTGGCTAGCCAAGTATATTAAACACCGGTAAACAAAGAATTGAACTATCAAACCTTGTGTATGATGTATAAAACGTCGCCTTCTTCAAAGCTTAATTCATCTTTCTACAAAAAACAAACATCGCTTTTAGACCTGAGGTCGGATTTCTCATGAAGTTTTCAAGACAACTTTATACATCTCGCGTCTATTTCCTGTTTCGTGTCAGGAGAAAGCGCGAGTATTTTCAGCCGCACCTGTTGTGCTTCGTATCTGTACAGAGCGCGAACCACTTGCACTTGTCCTTAACAAGAAGAGATACGTTTTAGTTGAAGAAAAATGTGTCTAAAATTGATAAAAACTCGTGTTTACCTGGTCGACTTGGCGGAGGAGGGGCAGCTCTTCTTGGTGCAGACATTTTGTGTTGTTTCCGGTTGCTTCGAAGGCAGGATGTAATTATTGATAATTATTTTAATTTATACGACAAAGTATTATGCCAGAAATTTCCTGAACTGCTAAATTTCAAACGGTTTTTGTATTTCATGTATTTCTGTGTAATTTTTAGGCACTAATCTAATAATCCTTAAGACAGATGGAAATAGGGATAATTTCAACAATTAAAACAATTGTTTATTGTTAACTAAATAATTAATTTAATATAAATTTAATAATAAAAAAAATATGCATAATTTCGGTCAGCGACAGTTCTTTGAAGATTTTTCATTTAAGACGAAGTATTATCAACACGGAATCATGGCGGAAAAAATTGAAACAAATCCATCTTTAAAAGTGATGAACGAAGCATTAAAGAATACTAAATGTTTGAAATCTTTACTTGAATCTTCAGACAACTCTCTAGAGTTGGTATTTCCGCAGAAATTTGCCGAACACTTTGAAAATTTAAACAAGAATCTCGAATTATATCAACATAAGGAGTGCCTTGATGGAGATAATTATTCAACTAGGAAGGAAATACTCAATAACCTTAGTTTACTGTGGGACATTTTCTGCACCGTTGAATCACAGAAGCAAAACTGTCCTTCATTTCTGAACCTTATCACCACACTTCGCAGCAAAGAAAGTTATGTTTTCGAAGTTTTATTTAAATGCCTAAAATGTAATGATCATTTTATTGTATTTCAAGGCTCCAAGGTTTTGTGTAAAGTGTTCAAATTGGTTCCTAGTTTGATGCTGCACTCGAAATTTGATGACCTTGTAGATTTGAGCGTGTCGGTTGAAAGCAAAGAATGTGGTCTTTGGTTACCAATATATATTGCAAAAATACTAATGGAGATGTTTCTTCAAATGGACTTGAATGAGAATGGTTTAATTTCAAACAAAAATAAGTCTACCACTGAACATTGTTCACATGTATGTCAGGAAGAACACAATGATGCAGTATCACCAAATGAAATTACGAGTTCTTTGTGTTGTTATTGGTTAAAACTGACCAGTCATAATCTAACTCGGCTATTGAATGTTTTTAAAAGTGAATGTTTGCTAGAAAAAGATTTATGTTGGTCCAGAGTTGATTCATTTCAACAAGTTCTCACAACAATGCTTTCATACGGAAAAATATTCATCACATCATTCAACTTCTGCCTGCAGTACTTGAACAATCCAACATGTGAAGAATTTTCTCAGGAAACATTTAAGAATGAATGTAGTCCTATTAATGATGAGGACATGGATTTGCAGGTCAATGACACTTTAAAACATGGTAAGCATCCAAGGATTTATCCCTCTGGGAATTGGTGTGGCCCAAGATTGGATAATGGTAACAACATTTGTAAAAACGAATACAAAGATGCCGCAACAAATGACAAAGATTTCAATGCAAAAGATTGTAAAGCAGAGTTATTAAAACAAATTTTAGCCCAGCTCATTGAAATTAATCACAAAAAGTGCTTGCTGCACTTCAGTCGCACTGTGTTTCAATTTTTAAATAATGTTGTCAGTGCAGCTTCAGAACATTACTTGGGTCAGGAGGTGAAAGGTTCTATGCAAAAGCAAAGCCTGTTGTATACAAGAACTTGCAGTTTTTTAGTTAAGAATTGTTGTTCAGTGTTGGGAAATGTGCCACATGTCTCTGGCAGGGTTCATTTTGGTGGAGTTGACAATAAAGTCCAGCTGGAAACCTCTTGCAGCCTGCCCTATGATGAAGTTAGCCTGAGAAAGGTTTTGCTGTTGGTAGTAAAACTGATTGTGGTTTCTTTGCATAGCCCACATGATTTACCTTGGCATGGTGAGTTCTCAACCTCCTGAAGTTTCAACCACACTGTGCTTTTAAACTGAAAAAATCATTGAATTTGGTCACTCACATTTGTGTTTTTATAACCTTGAAAGGACCTCTTGAAAGCTGGTCAAGTTTCATCATAAAGTTGTCTCATTCTAAATCACTATCAACTGCAGTCTGGTTGATCCGGTTGTTTTCAGAACAAGATGATGAACTTGTGTATATGTTGTTTTGCCTTCTTCATCTCTACCAAGAACTCTTCTCTAGTGAAAGGTAAATTTCTTATCATCATGTTAGCTCACATTTAACCAATCATAATTTTCAAAGGCTCTCTCTCATGCTTAAGACTTCCAATGAAGTATTTTTGACTTTTTATCTCATTTACAGCTTACAGCAAATTCCATCCTGGGCAAATCAACTTGAAGATTTCCTCAATCCACATGAATTTTTTGTGGAATTCCTGGAATCCATCAACTATGATCATTCCTTATTACTGGACTTTCTCATATCAAATGAAACCTCTTTTTTGCCATACTTTCATAAATATCTCAGATATCTTGCAAATGATTGGGAAGGCTTTAAAGGCTGTCTTGAACAAAGGCAGGCTTTGTCCAACAAAGAGTTGCCAGGTGTCACAGAGATATATAAAGGAGATGTTTCTTTATGTTTTAATACAGAACAATTTAGTGAAAGTAGGAAGTCTCTGAGTGATGTTGGTTGTGACGGCAATGATAGTTGTGATGATAATAGTAATAATGATTTATTGATGATATTGGTGATTATATTGGCAGTTCTGATCATAACGATGGTTGTAATACTAGTAGTAATGGTGGCTCTGATGATGATGGTTGTGATATTGGTGATGATGATTGTAATATGAACGATAACATTGACGATACTTGTGATGATGGCTGTAGTATTAATCAAAATAATTGTGATGATGTTGATATTGATAATACTGCTGGTGGTGATGATATTGGTGATGATATTGGTGATGATATTGGGGATGATATTGGGGATGACAGCAGCCAATGCGGTGCAGTGTTCAGCAAAATTAACGACTTACAAAACGCGCTGACGTGTTTAATTCGTTTGCGGTTTGCGATCCAGCGAATGGCATCGAAAAATTTGTTTCCTTATCCTGTAAACGCTCTTCTAAAAGTCATGAAATATATCGAAACTTTGTATGAAGGTTGAACGCAAATATTAAACGATATTTATTCTTTACACATTGTTTTTTATTTGGTTGCACAATCTTACGTTTTTGCTTTCAAAACTAAAAGTATTTAAAACTAAGAAGCTAAAAATGTTAAAATATAACTCTGGGGTCAGTTGTATATTAAAAAACTAGTTAACTTTTAACTGTAGTTAAGGACAGAATTGGCAAACCAGACTCGTGCATTTCTGAGTTAACTGGATTTAACTATTATCTAGATTATCTTCATTCGGTAGTTCACCTGGATTAACAATGAATCAAGTAATTTTTGCTCAATAAGACCACGTCACAAAATGCTTTTTTCACTATTCTGATCATCGCCATCCTCAAAAACATCTGCGGGATTATCTTCACGAAATGCCCCATTTCTATTGTCCCCATTCATAACAGCATTGGGCGTTGAGTAGTCTGACTTCAGTCGTCTCAGTTCGTATTCACATATATCCTTATGACATTGATCTCCCCATTCTTTAACAATTAGTGGTTCACCATTTCTGTCACATCTCAAAACAATCAACTCGAGGATATTAACGTTTTCAAAATCGGTGATGTGAGAAACGTTTTCGTCCGCATCGTGAATTTCCAACTCGCCTTCCTTTTCTGTTAGGTATACCGTAAGGCAATGACTGAAATCATCTGTCGAATACGACAATAAACCTGCCTTTTGTCCTGATAGTTTTAATTCGTTTGCAGCTATCTTTAGGGTTTCGTCTCGTCCAACCTGGTCGACATCAGGACATTTATATACTCTCTTGAGGAACCGCAATTCGTGGAGGTTGTTCAAGATCTTCGTACAACTTGGGGGCTCGCAATCAGTTTCTGCTCCTAATTTTAGGAGTAATTTTATGGCGCAGAAGTAGATCCCCTTCTCGTGAAGTAAACACAGAAGCGAAACAAACCCGCAAAAAGCGTAAGGACACCTTACGTCGGGGGTTGATCGAGATCTCGACTTTCCAGTCTGCAAGGCAAATTCAGCACATGATATAATTATTAGTATTGTCTATTGATACTAGCAGCAACAACCTGTCAATCAACTATATTTGAAAAAAACAAGTACTCCCAAACCATTTAACGCATGCATGCCATTAGAATAAACTTGTAAACATATTTACATTTTCCCCATTTCGCAAGCATAACAAATTCTATTATACGGCTATAAAATATATAGAGGTCATTGGGGAAAACGTCATTAAGACGTTCTTCTATTTAGGATAGTTAAAAATTAACGTGTAATACAAGTTCCTTCGCTTATCCTTTTATAGTGTGCTTTTTGAAGTTCTTTCAAACTTTCATTGAATATCATTAAGAGTTTATTCAATTCGCTAAAAATTTCTGCCGACAAAATTCTGGGAAGGAAAACATCATTGTTTTATAACTTACGTCCGTTTTGTCTCCAGTGGCTTCCTCGTTTTCAAGCGGTCCCTTACTTCTATTGTCCATATTTACTACCTGTGGTCCATCAATTTCTGTTTTACCCTACGTGAAGAGAGGAAATGGAGAAATGTAAGTACTAAATGTTCTGTTTTTTACTTAAAAATTTATTCCACATCGAATAAAGTTTCAGCACAAAATCCTAAATCATATACCTATATAGGTTATCCATTTTAGCTATAAAATTATTTTATTTGATGTTTGTAAAAGCTATTCGTTGAAATCCTAGTGCAAGCAGTGGCTTGCGTGGAATCTGGGTCTAGACACTGGAAAGATATCTGATACAAGGAACCAACCCTGCATTACATTTTTACCTTCGTATTCTCGTTCACTGATAACGAACGAAATTGTTCAGATATTCCCTTTTTACCACATTTTTCGCATACTTTTGAATCTAACTGTTTGGTTAATTCAGAGACACAATGTTCGAGTTCTTTTATTTTTTTGTTCTTTTCTTTAGTTTTCCGTTTCAACAAATCTTTCCAAAATTTTGCTTCTTGGGCTTTCTCTTCATATGCCTTAATAATCGAGTTCACACAATTGCAAAAGTGATCTTTCGCATCAGAAATTTCTTTCTCTGATAAGTTGTTGAGAAATCCGCAAATTATGCTCCAAAATATATCACTTTCTACGCGGAACAAGTTTGCTTTGAGGTCTATATCATCCTAAACAAAAAGTTTCGAAAAAATGCTGATGAATATGCACATGCATTTAACCGGTATTTTTGCACAAGTGAATATAACAAATCCTACGTTCTGATTGGTCAAATTTCATGTATTATGCTGTTATATTATATATAAACATCGTGAAGTACATCATATTCTCCTGAAACTTATTCCAATAAACTTCTGCATAACTACAAGTATTACATGCATACAGCTCAGAGTAGCAAAAAGAGTTCAACCTTCCTCCAGCAGGATTTCAAGTTTTGAAAACCTTCCTCAAAATGTCGTTACGTCACTGAGTCACGTGGCAACCAGCATAAAGAAATATTTGGTTTTGTGGTACACGCATGTGATCAAACAGAGTGTTCAACTTTGAACCTTCCTCACAAACCTCATTCAAAGCAAAACTCTAGCATAGCGTATGAGGTATGATAATAAACTTACTTGATCGTCATCTTTGTCTTGAAAACCAGGCTCACCTGGAACTGATGTTATTTCTGCACCATTACTATCGCCTATTGCAACCTAACGAGTCATATGTATATATGTACGTAATTAGCTTGTTGGTACACAACGTATAAGTATTTAATACTGCAAAGCTTTCGGTCCATTAAGCCGGGCCTTCATCAGTTAAGGCTATTTACTTATTGATGTCACCATGCAAATATACAAGAATATTACATGTAAATGTATATACGTATAAATAATATACATTTGTACCCTTAAGATAACTGATAATTATAACAATAAGCGATAATACGTGTTTTATGACTCACTTGATTATCAGCCCCATTTTGCAGCTCACCAGGAACAGATGACCCAGTGGCGTAACTACTATGGGCTCAGGGTGTGCGAACCCGCGGGCCCCCTGGCTTAAGGGGGCCCCTGTGAGATTAGAAGGTTATTGTAATTCTATGAATAAACAATAAAACAAGAGAAATCGCACGAACTTACATATAAAAAGGTTCAATTCAAAGGCTAGAGAGCGAAATCGTACCAGAGAACAAGAATATTTGAGGCGAAATTCTATTTCTGTAATTTCTATTTAATTAAAGAAACGTTTTAATGTCGCGACTGATGCGTTCTTTTTAACAACTGATATTATAATTACAGTAATTAATATTTAAATCATTATTTTAGGTTTTAGAATAATGTTTTAGATGTTAGTATGGTTATGTAAGGGGGCCCCTTTTGAATTTTTACCACGGGCCCCTAGTTGTGCTGTTACGCCACTGAGATGACCGACTGTCTGAATTATTCCCAGCCATCCCTTATGGTCGTCTATATGCAAGTAAAAAATATGTTATACTAAGAGCTTATATATATTATCAGTTTCTTTGTGTCAGGCCGTCAAATTATAATCATTGACATCGCCATTAATTGTCATTGAAAAAATTCATTATACTCAAATTTTCAAATGCGCCAACTTTCACGAATTCGCGACCTGTATCAGCCTCACTGCATGAGCAAGGATAAAATTATAGTTTCTTGTATTTCTTTCCCAGTGTATTCTCGCGTAAATTCTTGCATATGTTGACCGTAACTAAGGCAGCGAGACACTGCGGTTAAAAACACCAGTACATGCATGAATACATATTTGGAGATACCTGTATATCACAACCCGCCAATACACTCAGTCTCAGGAAGTATATATATATATATATATATATACAGACTGTGACGCCAATGACGGTTGGTTAGCTATATGTGCTAATGTAATGTGGCATATTTAGCGTTCATAATTCATAATGTCGCTTTATTGACTTTGTTATATAATTCCATGTATGTCGTCTTTGAGATATCGCCTTTATCGGATTGTTCATTTATCAGTGAACTGCAATTAAGTCACGACATCTGAATTATGATATACGAAAAGCTACCGTTATAAAAGTGTATTCCCAAAAACTACATAATGTAGACGTACATTAAAGTACACTACAACTCTGAGTCTATAACAAGACCACTGTTTGGTATGCGACTAATATGAATGTGTATAAATATATATACCAACATAACATTTTACAGTCGTATACGTATTATAAATTGTTCTACACCAAATTTAGTTTTACTTACTCTTCTCTTGATGTAGACCAAATATTTTCAAGACGGTATTGCCCTTTGAAATCGTTTGATTCTTTCGCTTTGCGAGACAAACGTAGCTTAATATACCATTTAGTGCATGTGCTCTTGCTAGTTCTTCCGGCTGAAGTTTTTTAAGATCACTTCCAGGAAAAACTGTACGGCATGACACGTCGGATATTGAGGTCATTACGGGGGTTAAGACCAGCTACCGGTCTGGAAGTATAGAGTTATTTTGTTCAATGAACAATGTGTATCTCTTTGTATATTGCTCGACCTTTTCTCTACTTCTGCATTGTACAGGTTAAATTTTAATCCGCTGTCTTGAGCGGATTGACTTTCCATATCGATTTCCAGAAATTACATCGATCTGCACGAGGATTAGCGTTCTAGGATTGAGGGTTATGAATGCAAAACGCTAATCTGAGTTTATTGTATACGAACTTGATGCGCATGTACAGGGCTAAAAACTCTTGGTTTATACCAGCATGGAAACCTTGTATATCATGCACTTTTTTGCATGAAAAATATATGCTGGTTACAATCAACTATATACTATTATATGTAGCTATATATATACACTTGACAACAACATTGTCATTGAACGATATTGTTGAAACTGAATTGAGTGTAAACGATATTGTTCGCTGTTGATTACAACTGTGAACAATATAGGCAACACAAGTTCACATCGTTGACAATTATATGTAAACTGGATGGTTTATAAGGCGTGTGTGCATGCGTTATTCGATTATCAGCATTCGAAGAGTGTGGTTTTCGATCGGCAAATATTTTACACTCTTAACACTTTATGCTATATCTAAAAGGTAAATCTCAATTATAGCTATAATGCATTAGCTATACATCATCTGCAAGTGAGATTTCGCTTTTGTCTTTTCAGACACTCTCTCTCTATATATTTGTATGCTGTAAAACAACTTCAAAGCATATTATTAAACCATCTTTTTCGTTTTTCAACAGTTTCATCAGTAGTTCAAACTACAAAGTACTAGTGTTGGAACGAAATGAACGATAACAGAACTCAACAAATTCTAACCTATATTAGGAAGTCCCACAGCTTCCGATGAAAACATGGAATCATATACAATTCCAAAATTATTGGACAGGGGCCAAACTGGATAGCGTTATCCACCGAACAGTTATTTTTTAAACCTTTTTAAAAATGCTGGAAAACCAATAAACTTTGCATGCAGGTATAACAATGAATAAAAAGGATATAACAGTTTACGAAAACTAAATAAATGTTTAATCAAAGTTATACCGAACAACAAGGCGGCAATTTTATACCCATTTAGAACGATTGAAAAAAACACTATCCAGTGGATAGCGCTATCCAGCTTTCATACAACCTGCCCCAGTTCGTAAAGTCAACTCACAATTAGCGGTATTAAGCCTGGTCTCCACTTAGTCATAATTGTTGTGAACACGTCAAGGTGATCGATGTAATAGAATTTTCTACGGCGAATGTGAAGTGAACAACGACCGATTTAGATTGAGAAATAGATTGAGAAATAAAGAAAAATTACATCCAGGCTATTTCTCATCGGTGAAAATGATTTGTTCACGAAAATTACGACAAAGCGGAAACGAGACTTCAAAATTTGGCTCGTGCGACCATAGGTGGCCCAAAATTGGCCGCGAAAACTTTTTCGGCAATTTGTCAATGTAATGTATAACATATAATTACATATTATATACATTACATTGACAAATTGCCGAAAAAGTTTTCGCTGCCAATTTTGGGCCGCCTATGGTGCGACTACCTTGACAGCTGGTGTAATGCATGCAGGGCCGCCGAGAGGGGGGGGGGGGTAGGGTTGTCAAACACCTTTAAAAGCATCACAACTCGATGAGATCAACAATAATTCAACATGCAGATAAAAAATTCGAGAAGTGATATCTCTCGTGTCAGCGCGAGTCAAACTCTTTCTTACCGCTCCTTGATACACAAATAACAACCTCATCCATTACCCCGTACACGAGAGCCAAACTCCAAATCCAAAGAGGCATTTCCTTACTGCATCAGTCGTCTTCTCACTTCACGCAGTCCTTGAGAACGCGGTGGACATATATTATTTGTTTATAAAATCTTACTTCATTTGAAGCTTCTTTTCCAATTCGGATTTTTCCTGAAGATTCTTCTTTATTTCAGCTTCCAGGATTAAATTTTCATTCTCTAACATCTTTATTCTAAACGTGAATAATAATGAACGAGAATTAAAGAGTATCAATTGTCTTACAGGCTACATGATTTTCAGGTTTCTTTTTTCTGTATAACTGGATTAAGTTAGTTAAGTTTAGGTTTCCTCCTGTAGTAACACCGGGTCAATAAGAGGTGATCCTTACTAGACCTCTAGGAAGAACTGTTTAGAAATGATAGAGCTATCCACTATAAATAAAGTTAGTTTAGTTTAGGTTTCCTCCTGTAGTAACACTGGATCAATAAGAGATGATCCTTACTGGACCTCTAGGAAGAACAGTTTAGAACTGATAGAGCTATCCAGTATGAATAACGTTAGTCTAGTTTAGGTTTCCTCCTGTAGTAAAATGTAATAAGACATGATCCTTACTGGATTTCTAGAAAACAACTGTTGTCAGAAGTTATTCAAAAGATAAGACAAAAAATTTGACCAAATTTACTTACTTGTACATCAGATTCAATTTTTGCCGATTCATGTACATTTCAGCAGCCATCCGCAAATCTTTGCCGGTGGAGGCTAAAATCTTCTGTTGTGCCTGAAACTTCGTCGTCAAATCACGAAATGTTTTTTCATCAACAGCAGATGCACTGCCCCTATCAAAGTTCTGCCTCAAGGCTTTAGCCCCACCTCTCCCTGAGAAGCTGCGAGTTTTCGCTTCAGCAGTCAGGGAAATTTTGCCACCAGCACTGCCTATATTTGCAGAGTTTTCAATCTTTTGGCCACCTTTTGAAGCAATACCAGCCATTTCATTTCGAGATTGTTTCTTAGGCGACCGGCTAGACTTGTTCGATTGCTTCTGATTGGACAAAGATGACTTAGAGCTATTGGTCGTATCACGTTCGACGTTAGCTAGTGGTTCATCAAAATTTTCATCCAAGCTAGAAGAGTTTTTACTGCCGCTGCTAGCGGAGCTATCTGATCGCGGTTTACCCGCTTCAGCCAATGATGACGTCAGATATTGTGACGTCATAGCCTCTGACGGTCGTGACGTAACATCGTGTGACGCTACACCTTTTGACGTAATACCCTTCGACGTGAAATTTTGCTCTGAAGGTCCGAGTGAGTTGACGGTTTGTGACGTGATGCATTGTGACGTCATACTCTGTGACGTCATACCCTGTGACGTACCAGCTCGTGACGTAGTCGCCTGGGATGGAAATTTTTGCGATGCTAGGTTTTGCGACACAAATTGACCGGTTGGAAGGAACGCGTTGTGACCTTGGGAAGGAACGCGTTGTGACGTCATAGCCGATGACGTCTTGTTAATGTTTTTAAGGGAACTCTGTTCGTTCGGCATACGGTTGGGTGGAGATGGGCCATGTGTAGGTGCAGGTCGACCTCGGTTAGCAGCTGGGTTAAGTACCTGATTTTGAGGTGGTGTCTGACTGTGAGATGGGGCCTGATCTCGAGGTGGAGCCTGCTTTCTGGATGCAGCCTGATCTTGAGGTGGACCCTGTCTTTTGGGTGCAACCTGATTTTGAAGCGGTGTCTGACCGTGAAATGGAGCCTGATCTTGAGGTGGAGCCTGCTTTCTGGATGCAGCCTGATCTTGGGGTGGACCCTGTCTTTTGGGTACAACCTGATTTTGAAGCGGCGCCTGACCGTGAGGTGGAGCCTGCTTTTTGGGTGAGGTCTGATCTTGAGGCATTTGGTAGGTCAACACACGACTGTGAGCCTGACTTGGTTGGGGTCGGGTTTGGTTCATGGGTTGATTCGCGGAACCTTTGCCAAATGCGTGAGTAGGTGAGGGTTGTCTGGGTGCGACCTTACCTTGCGGGGAGGCCTGTTTTGAGGCAAATGCCTGAGTAGTCGATGGAGGTGATGGCTGCCTTTGGGAAAGTCCTTGATTCCGCGGTGTTAGGTTGTGGACTGGAGGCAGGTTATGCGGAACTTGATTCAAAGCCGGTTTGCGCTCAAACGCCGGATTAGGTGATACCCGATTTTGAGGTGGTGCCTGATTTTGAGGTGGTGCCTGATTTTGAGGTGGTGCCTGATTAGATGATTGATTTTGAACCGCTGCCGGACGTCTTGAAAATGCCTGATTACCAGATGGGTTTTCGTGGCTTTGGGGCGGAGCCTGACTATGTCCAAAGGCCTGATTTGCCTGGCTATGTCCAAAGGCCTGATTTTTAGTAACAGGTGCCTGATTGTAGGTTGACGCCTGATTAGGAGTGGTGACTACGCCTTTCTCAAAGCCTTGATTACCAACCGACGTTGAAGGCCGAACGTGTGTGGCCTGCTTTTGGACTGGTTCTTGTTTAGGTCTTGGGGCACTCTGGGTGGTGCTGGTTGGACAATCCTTGCATTACTCGGGCAGATGCTTGATTACCAGGGGACACGTGACCTCGTTCCAATTCCCCTCTTCTTGAGGAAACTTGGGACTGGCTCTGGGGTGCCCGACTGGAGCCGCTCGGTGAGATTGACTGACTTTGGATCGGAGCACCAGAACTAAACACCGCTTCACCACCATCACATTGCAAGGACGGTGTCATACTTTTGGGATCCGACTGGTCACCGTTATGCAGTGCCTCAGTCGATATTTTGCGGGTTTGCCTGGACACTTCAGAAGGTGGTGTGGCTTTAGATAATTCTCGTTCGGTGTTTGCCATTTCTATCAGCGTTCTATTGATACTCGCCCCTTCTGCATTAAACAGCTCTACGTAAACAGATCCATCTTTATTTTCATTCACAATAATTGCTTGGAGAACCTAGACGGGATTTAGGGTGAACTTAAAGATGTGCTCAGAGGGTTATGTCGAGGTCTGATTTAATATCTGCTTCAATAAAAAGTTTCAACCGTAATGCTTTGCCTGCTTTTCGTAGCGTAAATAAAACCTTGTTCAATTTTTTTAACTGCGCTATTCCTAAAGCATGACTAAAATCTAATTTAATATCTAAATCTTTCCTATGCTTTCAAATGAATAGGAATAAACAATTACTTGATGGTTTCTGCGTTGGGATGGCCTGGTCCAAACACGCGGGAATGTTGCGAGAGTTAAGAAAAGCGCGCGAAACACGAGCCGAAGCCATCAAAACACGGGAAACCATTAAGTAATTGTTTTATAAAAATAACAACAACAAGGTATAGTGTTCCACGTTTTATATGAAAATGCGAATCAAATTTTCGTGTTTGGATGGAACGCACGTTATATACTTGTTATTTTATAACTGGTGTTCGTTCCCAGGATTCAATACATGGTTGAAACGATACGCAAAGGTGAGGCAATCCTCCTTAATTTATGTTTATTACAATAGCCGATGATTTAGTGATTTTGTTTTTGAATCCAAACAATCTTCTCATGGCTTGCTCTATAATCTATTTCTAGGACGGTTGACGCTTGTTAAAGTGCTTTTAAACTCAACAAACCTCGGTTGCTTGCTGAATGATAAATTCCAAAGCTTTAGCAGACTTTGCCAGAGGGTCCTGTGGAACACGGTACAAAATTGCTGGCCTGCCCTGATAAGGAATATCCTTCGCTTCTTGTGGTAACGCAATGAATGACATCAGAGGAACTACAGCCACTTTACCCGTATCCACATGAAGTACTGTCACCTACACATAAGATGACAGCCCCTTTTAAAAGCAGATGCACAAGTTTTTCCCCCGTTGATAAAAACAGGTTTAAGCGATGCACCCCGAAAATATTATTGCCAACAATTTCTTTAAAATATACAACTAGTTATACCCCGAAAAGTTGTAACAAACGTTGGTAAATCAGGTTTTATACAACAAAGAAATACAAATATGTTGTTTGAAATAAGTTTTGCATGGTGTTAAGCTTAGAAATCTAATAAATTACATGGTGTAAACCACAAACAATTAACAACTATAAAGAAATACAACTAACCTTTCCTGGAGTACCAGTGGAGCTTATGAAGGTCACACGAGACCTTTCTAGTCCATTTTTATGGTAGCAAACGAGGTTACTTATTTTTGGATCTTTAACATTAACCTGGAACGAATGCATTTACTTCAGTGTCTTTTGGTGAATAGTATAATAAATGTGCAGCAATTTAATACGTTACTAAATTATATCTCTCATTTCTTAAGGCCTATTTAGACTACACGATAAGCTGTATGCAATTATCATTCTGACGGATGCAAAAGAGTGCCTATGCACAATCTTCATTCAATTTTGTTCAGGTTGAAATTTGAAAAGTCACGTTTGAACGTGTGTTTATACGTTCACATACGCCAGGGTACGAATCGTATACGACAAATCGCGTAGTGTTAATAGGCCTTTAGAAATACCAGTTTCTTGTTTTCGTGATTAATCTTAAATCTTGCGTTTGAAAAATGGCGATTTTTTTAGTTTGTTTCGTTCAAATATTTGTCAAATTTCTGAAAAAGATCTTACCGCTCACCTTATTCTGAATATTGCATTTCAGAAGCATTTCTTGTATTCTTTTTATAGCCTCTCTGGAAGAACTGTTCACCAGTTGGAAGTTGAATGTTGTGGGAGATTTTATCTGCAAATTGAAATAGCTTATTGTTCAATTTAAAATTTCAACTAACGGCAGTAAATGCTTCTCTGGCATTGTCAAGCGAATGAATACAGTAATGAAGTTGAAGACATCGCTTTTTGTTGGAAAGAGTTGTATTAAATCGAGTTATTAATAGCAATGGTTAAGGCATGAAACGCATGCACAGAGCCATTAAGAAGGACTCTATGATTTGCTTTGTTATACACAGAACCAGGAGTATACGAAGTGGGCGTCGCAGGTCTTAAATCACGAAGTGAAAACACTTAGTTTGTGATTGAATAAAGCAAAATAAGCTTCTTCTAGTAATAGTCTATTACATATGATCAGATAGATTAGAAACGGCACCATATCACTAACTATCATCATCATAACAGGCCTCATGCATACAATATGACACTTACATTAGTTATCCAGACGTAATGAATTTCGCTGTCAACAGAAGAGAACGTGTCCTTTGGCGGTTTAACAATTGTTGGCACGGGGGGTTGGCCAGATAACAGAAGCGGAGGGGGTGGAGATGATTCTTTTTGCCGGGTTTCCACTCCAGATAACGACTCCAGCTCAGAAAGGACCGATTCTCCTTTGGACTGCAAAAGCTCGATTTCCAACAGAAACGGCTTGAAAAAGATGATGACTTTATCAAATCTAATCCAAGTAACTCGATTCTATTCTACATTTCCCTCATTTCAACTTCTTAATGAATTCAGAGGTCGAAATATATGGTTTATAGAATATTTCTTCATTCAGTTGTGTGCAGTCGACAATCAACGATTTGAATAGAGAAATAAAGGAAATTTACATCCGGACTGGTTCTAATCGGTGAAAATGACTCGTTAAAAACAAGAAAAATGGCGGGAAATTTGTTTTTCACGTAATAGTTAAGTTGCAATTCCAAACCTCAAACTAATAAATGATTAGGCCTAAAAATTGTATACAAATTCTTGTTAAAGAACCATTGGCTATCTACCGTTAGTATATTTGAAACATATTTCAAACATAATTCCTTGATTACTCATCTTACACTGTACTTTATTTAGCCCCAAAAATATATATTCTTACATAGTCTATTGTCAGTACAATGTTCAATGTTAATACACATTTATTCTTTAGATACCTTCGAAGAATCCACAGAACCTCTTCTCGCTTGAAAACATTTAAACATCAGGAGATTTTTTGCTGTTGATAACAATTTGCTGTCAAGTTCGCTGTTGTTGCTTGACTTAAATCTAAATCCTAAAAAAGAAATGTAATTCATGTCACTACAAAAAAAAGCTTACTTAAGTCGACATACTACTTGCTAGTTGCAAAATAACCACGCGATAGGTGTTTCCAAAATTTAATGCAGTGCAGCTTTTATTATCGCTGTAAACAGCCCAACATTATTACCTCACTAAAAGTCTGAAACAGATATACACATGTAGCTATATAGCTTCAGTTAACTGTATTTTTCTTTCCAGTTATCCACTATACCACAAGAAATCTCTTAATTCTAATGTTGTTTTCAGATTATATAAGTGAACATACTATAGTTTCAGATGCATATATTTGAGGTTTGTAAAATGTTTCTCATGTGAGTCAGAGATCCATAATGCTGCACTCTTGCATTTTCTAATAGTACCAAAGGTTCTGAGCAATTCTTACCTGAAAGTTTAACAAGGATGCCCTGAGGTCGAAGTTTAAAGTAAGAGTCATTCAACTTCACGGTTCTTTGTCTTTCTAACCATTCAGTGTTACCATAATCAATATAGATCACATGAAGCAGGCGACCATCTGTTGAAGCCTCACGACAATAGCATCTGCCAAAAAATATGTCATTTTTAGTCTCATTTGGTTTCCTCATGAATAAGGTTACTAAAGACTTTAATCTCATATACCTAAATTAAATCTCAATGAGGGCGCTCAAAACATTGATCGCAAAAATTGCATCTTATAAGCTACATGAGAATTTAAATACAGCAACTTGTTGAATACAGAATCTCTTCATGAGAATTTGAATACAGCAACTATTATTCACACTACCACAAACATTTCCTAAGGCCAAGATATTAACATTAACCCATTTTCTTGCAATGCACTGAGGCTGAGCAAGATGTGTCCTACTTTAGTTAAGTATTTCACTCTGTGTAATACCTGATGATTTTATCACCAGTGGAAGAGGACTGCCAGTTAATGAGTTAATCTCAATATATTTATTTGGCCAATGACAATTCCTTTGATTCAAATACGGGTAAAGACTTACCTGTACCATAGTCCATCATCAGAAAACTGTCCTGCACCAAATTCATTATTCTTTAAACAACTTAAACCAGAAGATGGTTTGATCAACGAAAGCTGATGTGTTAATTCATTGAAATCACGGTATGCGTTTGTCTAAAACAGTAGAACCATTGTTAATTAGGGCAGAAAATACAAGTGAAAGGGATGGCAAATAATTTGATTGATGTAAAAAGCCTCACCCCGTCCGAAAGGTGAACCCAGAAAGTACAAGGATCAATGAGATCCATTATTTTCACTTCAAATATTGATGGTAGATTGTTCAGCCAGTGCAGATAGTCTTGCCTACAGCAACCTGATATTGCTTCGCTAAAGAAGTCGTAGATCTTGGTAAATTCATCCTGAAACTCTACTGAAGGGAAAAATATTGTCAGTGGTGATAGTCTTTTCAAAAAACTATGCAGAAGTGTGACTTCTCAGATGGACATTATATATATGTATCACCCTAATGCTCACCAGGTAATTTTTCTTCATCGACTATCTTAACAGGCTCCGCTTCATCCATATCTGATGGATGTTTTGTTAAAGGTTTCACCAACAAAACACAGCCATTGCAATATTTTCCATTTAACTCATTAACTGCATGTAAAGATGCATCTTTAGTTTTAAACCAGGCTATGCTATAACTAAAAAAGTGATTGAAATGAATTGTAACTTTATTCAAACACATCATATATTAGTTGGTCCACTATCAAACTTACTGTGGTTGATATTTAATGCGTTGCAAATCATGAACATTCTGAAACACCTGCTTTATATTGGCCTAAAAAACAGTCGAAATTCGAGAGTTAAATACTAAAAAGACAGTAAATTGAGTGCCTCCTTAATTAACTCATTAACGTACCCACAGTGTTCTGCCACTGATCAATGGATAAAATTATTAGGCATTAAACAGAGTTAAATACTAAAGTAGGCCACATCTGGGTGCAGTGCAAGCTAATGGATTAACAAGAGACACTGACAGATAGTTATGTTAACTTATTAACGGACAGTACTCTTCCACTGATGAGTAAAATCATCTGACATTAGACAGAGTAAAATACTAAAGTAAGGCACATCTGGGTGCATTGCTAGTATATTAGGTTAATGAAAGAATATAATGAAAAAAACTGTCAGACCTGTAAAAATACTACTGCCCTGTAAAAATGACTAGAAATATATGTTGATTTTTCTTACTAGTTGATTTTTTCTAAATAGTGACATCACTGGAATTAAGTGTGTTGATATACATACCTCAGTCAGTTTTCTATCATAACCAGAAATTACTAGGCTGTAATTCAGTCTATTGTCTACTTTTTCAAGTGGTTTTGAAACAGCGTTGGTTGGCTCTTTACTTGATGTCTTTGTTTCAGAGACTGGTTGTAATGAGAGCAATGTCTTTGTTGTTGAGTTAGGGTCTAGTATCCATGGTCCATTATTGCCCGTGTTTGCAAGTTGTGTTGGGGGTAATTGTACAGAAAGGGGTGTCTGTGTATTGTGTGGTGGATTTTCAGCCAAATATGGCTGGCTGTTTCCAGTTGTTTGAGGAGAATTTGATTGTGTGTTCATTGGGCGGTATGTTGGAAAATGCGGTGCTGTTGGCAGATTGTTTTTGGCCTGTTGGTCTTGTAAAGCAGTTGGTGGGGCATTGCTTTTTATTGGCGAAGAAGGAGTAGATGATGAAAATGATGATATGCTTCCCTCACTTGGCTCTGAATTCAATGCAGCATTCACAGATGTTTCGATATTGTCATTGGACTTTTTCTTGGTTTTTCCAACCTCAAGTGTGACTCCAAAGATCTTAGGAGGGTTCCTCCTGCCCTCTGTCAATGCTAGTTGTGCCTCATTTTTCAATGAGTAGCGTATAAAGCCAATCCTTAATGTAAGCATTTCTTTTTTTAGGTTTGATAAATCAAAATATGATATTTATTTTTTTTATAACAATTAAAAATATAGCTATAGAGCTTAGGAGACCACAAAGCTTGAGAGAACTTAATCAAACTATTATGAATGAATTGTGATTTTTGGCACTTCACTTGATGCACGTAAATTTCTTTGCGAGTGAATAAACGACTGATTTCTTTGCAGAGCTATTCTTGCAATGGTATGAAAACATGAATATAAGAATATGCATTACCTAATTAAGTGGTCTAGTTATTGCCCTTTAAATGATGTAAACAATGCATAGTAAATAATACACAGAAATATTTTGTACAGTTTGGATGAACACAAATCACTTTTTTTGGTACAGATGAATTTGACCATGGCATTGTGACAGAGATAGTCTATAAATGTTGGATATGCAAGCTCCAACTATTCTTGGAATCATATCAATGATGCAAGGCTTGAAAATGAACATAGAATTGCAAAATATGAAAAGGTTATCTCTAGGATGTTAAAAACTTGGTTTAACCTAGTTCATGGTGCAATTCTATACATCTATAGAACAGTAAAATCAATAAATATTTTGACTTACTTTTTTCCAATTGAGCTTCTTACTACCTGACATTCCACAACTTTACCATAAATTTGAAAGCAATTTCTCAGTTCAGTCTAAAACATTGAAGAGAGGTCAGAGTAAGGTGAGAGTAATAATATAAACCCCTCTCTCTAATAAACACCTTGTATCTATTAAACCCCTCCTTTAGAACTGCTACTATGTATTAAATGCCCTGCACGTTTATTGGATCGCTTACGGTAATTCACAAATCAATGTTACACCATATCCCTGAGAGGGTTAGGATCGATACACAGAGGCATTGACATTTTCCTGCTGGTGCATAGCAGGTCACCATGACATGACATAAAAATGGATCAAATGCCTCTGGGCAAATGCCACCTGCTCCTGTTACACAGGATTTAACCTTGTTGTAAAGCTGTGAAATTCTATAAGAATATCTGGCCAATATATCTAACTCCTAACAGTAAATGCTATATAGAACTGCCTTTTTTATGTTACTTCATTCATAAAACAGAGTATGTTAGAACAAGAGTAAACACTATTTTCAACGACCAAGGCAGTTCCAGACACACAAATTGATCCTCCAACAGATCTTCAACAATCAACATAATACCCTATTGCATGTCCTGGTTTTCTAAACTGTACCCAAAAACGTAGCATTCTTATCAAAAACTATACCTCAGTACACTTTTCAGGCAACTTCACGACATACACCTGGTAGAGTCCGTCGCTATTCGGCAGCAGATCGCTACTTTCGCTCTCCGAAGATGTGTTTAAAGGTGTATTTGCTACTGTCACTCTTATCTTCTCCCCGTCATTTTGAACAATTCGACCATTTTCGGCCAAGTTCGTTTCTTTGATGGGCGATATCGACGAGCTTGCCACCTTTGCATTTTTTTTCGCATGCGAAGACATGTATGTGCCTTCCTTTTGGACGGCGTAAACGCGATTCTCCTTATCCTTTGGACTGTACTGCAACATACATACATCAGGTAATGCTTTTAGAAACTCGTTTAGCGACGAGAATCCGTAGTTTTTCCACATCAATCTCTCGCCAGCCAGTTCGTGGTAGTCCTTCTGCACTCGGCTTTGCTTAACGCCATTACTAGATATTAAAACAGAGCGCAGAAAACTCTTGATTTCCTCCGGCACTCTATCACCTTTGGACATATTTCTATTTTCTCTATTTTCTAATTTCTAAACGCATGAGGAAGAAACGAGCCCACAAGCATAACATTACAATTGTTAGCGGTATTTACATATACTTAATGTAATCGTAATTTTACATGTCTTCACGCTTCGTCGTTGAAATGTTTCAATATGGTGCAAAAATGTACCTCTCATATTTTACAGCATTTTTCTTCCAGACTTTACAATTCTACTAATCTTAGTATACATCTTCCAAAAATATACTTTTTTGAGAAGGTATGAGTTAGTCTAAGTGTCTAACATGGTCTATTCTATATATGTTGATGTCCATCGGTAGAACAATGACGGTAATCCGTCAATTCTGATGCGAGATTTTTTGCGTTTGGAGAGCAACATCGAATTTGCGAATCGGATGAGCTGAAAAATTTGAAACGAAGATTGAGTTTTTTCCCTGTTTTACTGCGAGAAATTTCAACATGAAAATCGCGGTGGAAGGCTGTGCCCATGGCGAATTGGAGACAATTTATTCTGTTTTGGAAAATATTCAACGTAGAGACAACATTAAGATAGATTTGTTGCTTTGCTGTGGTGATTTTCAGGCTGTTCGGAATGAGGTTGATTTGGCCTGCATGGCGGTACCTCTGAAGTACAGGGAAATGTGCAGCTTCTATAAGTATTATAGCGGCGAAAAAAAGGCGCCAATTTTAACAATTTTTATTGGCGGTAACCACGAAGCCTCGAACCATTTGTGGGAGTTACCCTTCGGTGGCTGGGTTGCACCCAACATATACTACCTTGGTTACTCTGGGGTTGTCAATTTTGGTGGCCTCAGGATTGCGGGGTTATCGGGGATATTTAAGTCGCATGATTACAACAAGGGACATTATGAAGCCCCGCCATTTGACCAGGGAACTGTTCGAAGCATTTATCACGTCCGAAGCCTGGACGTTTTTAAGCTGAAGCTATTGACGAGACCTGTGGATATCGCAATGTCACATGATTGGCCAAAAGGTGTTTATCACTATGGCAACCTTAATGAGCTATACCGCTGGAAAGGATTTCTACGTCCGGAAATTGAGAATGACACCCTGGGCAGTTATGCAGCCCAGGAGGTGTTGAAGTCCCTGCAACCCGATTTTTGGTTTTCTGCACACCTCCATTGCCGATTTCCCGCCCAAGTTACCCATAGTCAGACTGGGAAAGTAACAAACTTCTTAGCATTGGACAAATGCTTGCCTCGGCGCAAATACCTGGAGGTTATTGATGTGGGCCCACCTAAGGGACCAATGGAGTTGTCCTATGACCCAGAATGGTTAGCAATAACTAAATCAACGCTTCCTTTATTCAACACTGAACCAGGGAACACAAAACTGCCTTTTAGAGAGTCCATTGTGATGTCCCTCAAGCCAAATGTTGAGGCAATTAAGGCAGTACAAGAGTTGTTTGAAGGGGACTTGAGGATCCCAGAAAATTTCACCCAAAATGTCCCTTTGTACAACCCTGATAGACACCAGAAGCATGTTCAAGTGACAGCAGAGAAAAATCCACAAACTGACATTTTTTGCCAGAGGTTGAGAATCAGGAATCCATTTTGGGCCACGGATATTTCTGGGGATAAAAATCCCGATGAAATTAGTTTGAGTGATGAGGGCGAGGATGATGATCTAGAGGCCAGGGATTACCCCAGTAGCATTCAAGCATCGCTGCCCCACACAGAAAGTGGGAGAGGAAAGGTTTCATCCGGAAATCCAGATGAGATCAGTGTAAGTGATGAAGATAAACTAAGTGACAACCTTGCAGTTTGCCTACCGGCACTATTGCACACATCTGCACAAGTTGCACTACCTTCGAGCAATCCAGATGAAATTGGTTTGGCAGATGACAAGGAAAGCGAGTCCCAGTTTAGTGATTTTCCAGTACCATTGCCACCAAAACTCAATCCTTGTTCATCGCTTGCCAAGGAGCCCGAAACTAATGGGAAAGGAGAAGAGGTGGCAAAGATTGAGGGGAGAAGATCAGACTCTGAACCTCCACGAAAGATGTTCAAGCTTGTGAGAAGAAATCAGAACATGTATTCAACCATTGAGGATTCTGATGAAGAAAAACCTTGAAACCTAAACTGAATATTGTTCTTCAAGTGAAATATTTTCTAATGTATTTGTTAGTGTGTTGTTGTGAAATAAGCTAGAAAAAAGCATTGAATATATGTGTTTGTAACTTGATCAGGAATGGGGGGGCTCTCCTTGCTACTTAGGACCAAGAGGGTTCAGTGCTGATACCTATTCTCCATCATGGAAAAAGGATTTGTATGCTGTTTCATTCCACATTTACAGTTGAATTAGGTCTCCATTCCCCATGTGCAATGAAATATAAATATGGCGATATTCTTTCTATATAAAAAAGACATTGTCATGATGACGTGAGCGCGGTAAGTTTGATGTTACACGAAGTTTGATTGGCTCGTTTGTTTTGAGGAGCCAATCAAACTTCGCGTAACATCAGACTTTCTGCGTCAGTATGAGAATTGAGAAGGTCTACCGCCACAAGTTCAACAAGAACGTGCAAGTTGGCAATTTCATAATCGGATAAACAAAAGAACCGTAAATATATTGACCGTATATGAATCATTCATGGCAAATATGCCTTGAAAATATTTAAATCAACGAATTACAACTTGTGAATTATTAAAAAGTTTAGAAGTTATTTTACTTATTTAGTCATCATATTTGATCATAAGGACAGATGTATTTGTACCTGAACATATGTCCTGATGATGACTAAAATATAGTCCAAAAGTCAAACGTAGATTCATTAAAGCTAGAAACAATTTTTCGGAGTTACTGTTCTTATGAATTTCATAAAAATACTCGGCGGTTCCCGTAAAAACTTGTAACTTGCAGGTTTCAGAAGAACTTGATTGGGCAATTAGCAAACGAATATTGCTAAATTAACGGCAATGTCACGGCAGAGTACCATAATTTACTGTCAAATATAAATCGTCAAAATGCAACCGTATTCCAACGAAAAAACATCAGTGTTGTAACTTTGAAAGCGCATGCATTATCGTATTGCAGAATATGCAAATCAGTTCACAACACGCGCGCTGTAATTTGAAACCTATTCCCGCACTATATACGTAGTGACATCTGGGCGTTGAGAAAACCGCATAATCCAATGTCAACAACTCATAATCCACCGTCAAGCGGAGATCAAACAAGCACACAATCAGCACTGTGTTCAAAATGTTTTGCAAAGGAATTAAGCTCGCGTTTTTGATCGTTATGGGTAAGTAGTTATTACTTATTAGCCTAGAAATGTATAGCAATCAATTTATTTATTTAAGCGTGAAAGAGCGGAGAGATTTTAAATACGAAGATTGATAGTTTCGGCTTAATATATATGTAGTCTCTACCCTAGTATATGTAGTCTCTACCTAGGTAGTCTCTACCTGTAGACTGGCTTTAGATTCCTACAGCAAACTAACAACTAGGCTTCCCGTTTTTGTAGCTATTTCATGATTTTAACTTCATTACATAAAAGGTGTTAAAATCTTGTTTAGATAGCAATTTGTAGATTCCATAACAAGGCGATCCTAGCGGAAATAACAAATACAAAATGCAAATATAATTATTTCTACCGAACGGTAGCATGCCAAAGTCAGAGCGATTTAAACAGCAGAAAATTGCAGCTTTTTGAGTTCTTGCATAGTCTTCGGACAATAAAGAATTCCCGCCACGAATTCCCAGTAAAATATTGAAAATATTTCAGGCAAACATTTTGTGTGGCCGGTTGAATACTGTAAACTCTATATGATAATCAACAAAACTAGTTTAAGATATATAATTTTGCTACGCGACTATTCTCTTAATTGTTATTTATTTTAAATAGGTAAATACAGTCGCATTGGGCTGTCAATTTGCCATTGTGTATTTTGTCATTTCTATAAACAGTAACTGGGACGTTGTGAGTTCAAATTTAAAATAGCCGTCATTTGATTGTAAATTAGACCGAACATATGCATATGCCGGAACACAATTCATGATCCACACAGTCAAGTAGCAAATTGAAATTGAGAGCATGTGCTCTGTTATGGCACAATATCAAATGCCTTTGTCTACAATGCGTCTGTATGCTTCGCAGGAAGTTCCAGGGGGTTCATGACCTTTCGTGACCACACAATAGTTGTTACCCATCGTTACAAGTTACAACATGCTCCCTAATTGATGCAGAGCTTGCCTAATTTGCAGCTGGTTAAATATGGTGTTTGTCAAACCCTTAAACCTTACATTGGGAGAGTCACGCAGAATTTTCTAGTTCACAAATAGGTCACGCATCGAAATAAATGCTCTGGTGTGGAGTGCGGTGAGCTTGCAAACAAAGAGGATGGTTTGACAACCGTTACGAACTTACGGTGTCATGTCTTTAGAAGAAAAAAACAAGAAATAGACATCCTGTGTCTGCATGTGACGTATCCCCTTTCTCGGTTTCTCCCGTGTGACAGAACCTGTTGTAACTTTCATCTTGACTTGTATTTTCTTAAATCATACAATATTACTTTCGAAATAGCAACTATATCAGCAACCACGATACAATAAAACAGATATTTAAACACAGTAGAATCTTCAGTAATGCAGACAAAATAAAAAAGATATATACTAAGCATTTGAAATGACAACTTATAATTACAAACGTGATATTGCATGCAATGAAGAAAATTGTCGGGGTTTGTTTTTTTTTTGTTTGATCAGATCAAATAATCCTAGCGAAGTATTTTTATCATTTTGAACTTTGAAGCTATGTCTTGTTCTTATTATCTTGTCGTTCTTGACGGTTCCAAGAGTTTTAAAATGGCAAGTAAAGTTTGGTAAAATAACAAGTGTCATTCCTCAGACATATATTGCCAGTCCTACAGTATTTTTGAAGTGTTTTTTTGAATGAGACACACTATATATTTATCGAACTTGCTGTTTTACTTGTTTTGTGCCATGCCCATGCCACTTAAATCTAATATTTAAAATTGTTTGCCGTAGTAATATGATATGAAACTGATTTCAAAACAAAATATAATCCGAAGATTGACAT